CCCCTTGTTGTTGAAACAGATGCTTCAGATGTCTCAATTGCAGCTACATTAAACCAGAATGGTAAACCTGTCGCCTTCTTTTCTCGAAGCCTCTCTCGAAGTGAGAAACATCATTCATCGGTTGAGAAAGAAGCCTATGCCGTGGTTGAAGCAATTCGTAAGTGGAAGCATTACCTTCTCGGAAATCACTTCAAACTTGTCACTGATCAACGTTCAGTAGCATTCATGTTTGACAAGATTCATAAAGGCAAAATCAAGAACGATAAAATAATGCGTTGGAGAATTGAGCTATCCCCTTATCAATATGACATCATTTATCGTCCTGGAAGGGATAATCAAGCTGCTGATACATTTTCCCGTAGTTTCTGCGGTTCCTTGCAGTCAGTGTGCGACTTGAAATTTCTCCATGACTCTATGTGCCATCCTGGAGTTGTCCGAATGATGCATTTTGTACGCTCGAGAAACCTTCCATTCTCCCTTGACGAGGTGCGCAATGTAACCAGTAAATGCGTGACATGCTGTGAGTTAAAGCCTCAATTTTACAATCCCTCTAATTTCAAACTCATAAAAGCAACCCAACCTTTTGAAAGGTTAAGCATCGACTTTAAAGGACCTCTACCGTCAGCTAGCCGCAATCACTATCTGCTCACGCTGATCGATGAATATTCTCGATTCCCCTTTGCATTCGCCTGCCCCGACATGTCGTCTCAAACGGTAATGAATTGCCTTTGCCAACTGTTTTCGATTTTCGGTATGCCTTCTTACATACATACCGACAGAGGCGCTGCTTTCATGTCTACCGAATTACGGGCATTTCTTCTGGAGAAAGGCGTAGCAACCAGTCGTACTACCTCATACAATCCTCAAGCCAATGGGCAGGTCGAGCGCCTCAATGGAACACTTTGGCGTGCCATCACTCTAGCATTAAGATCACGGGGCCTACCAACGGCACAATGGGAGTCTGTTCTACTCGACGCCTTGCATTCCATCAGATCTTTGCTCTGTACTGCAACGAACGCCACGCCACACGAACGACTGTTTACCTATAACCGAAGATCGACATCTGGGACAACTCTTCCTACTTGGCTCACTGTACCAGGACCAGTACTTCTCCGGCGGAGTGTTCGTCAGTCCAAATTCGATCCCCTGGTTGAAGAGGTGGAGCTATTGAATTGTAACCCGCAATTCGCTCACGTTCGCTTCGGTAATGGACGTGAAGATACAGTTGCTCTTCATCATCTGGCACCCAAAGGCGAAGATATAGATCAAGTTGAAAATTCAATACCGGAGGGCGACGCAATTCCTGAGCAACAAGTAAATGGGGATGCGACCACTGATCCTAATATTCTTCGTGAAGAAAATACAACTGAAACGAACAACGGGCGTATTCTTTTGGAAAAACAACAACGTGTACGGCCTTACAATTTGCGTACCAGAGAAGCGTGACATAATGGCTCATTCCTTTTCAAGCCGCAGTGAATGTTGTGAACTTTTCTTATAATACGTATCTAGTCATATTCATATCTCTACCGCTATTAACACTCTTTTTTTCCTTTATATGTTTAAGCCATTCCGGCTTCATTGTAAAATGAATAAAGCCTAAATTCTTGGTTCATTCGTCTTTTCAAGATTCAAGCATCACTCATCGTTCTAAGACTCAATCACCTTCGTAACAATGGTTATTCACAAAGTTTCATTGACAAATATAGTAAGAATGGACGTAAGAAACCTGATGAACCTACGGTCAGCAAGAAGCCAGTACTCATCAAACTCAACTTCAAGGCGACAATCATAAATAAAAGATTAAGCACAACCCTGTCCAGGACGTATCCTGCAGCAAAACTAGTCTCTCTGCTCCGAGCATCTTCCTCGTTGGTGGTTAAAGATCGACAAGTACCTCTCATACGTTACCTCCAACTGCGTACCAATTCACATGTATCTGTGGGAGCGGTTACACTGGAAGGACAGAAAGAAAGGCCTCCGTCAAATTTTTCGAACACGTGCCAAGGAGCTTCCGGTTAAAGGGGTCAAGTAGTTTAAGCTCTTTAATTACCAAACACCTGTTAGACACTGGACACCAAGTAGACGCGCTGGCATCGTTCAAAATAATTAACATACAAAACAGCTCGTCTTCTTCGGTTTGCTAAGGCTATTGCAATAAAACGGCTGAAATCTGACTGATGTGTCCAAAATGAATCTGTCGTTGGACTCCAGTTACCCTGGTGACTGACTCATCCCTTAATAACTCTAACCTCATTAATTTACCTTTTCAACAAGTCCTCAGTTCGTTTCTTCTGTTTGACTTCCATGAGAGACAATTTTTCTTGACCTTATGAGTTCTAATCACCATATTACGTCATCCCTTCTTTCATTTGACCTCTTGCACACCAAATTTCGATCTTCTCTTATCAAACTATGCAACTGTTACTAATTTTTTGTTACCACTCTAAAAACAAACATGTCAATTAATTTTCTTGAAATCTCTCACTGATAATATATATATATATATACATATACTTGCACTTCAGCTACTTTGTCGTCCTGATGTCTAACTCACCGTGACACTTATAATATGCTTGTCGACAACAAAAGTATGTTAAATTCTACGCTGACTTTTATTTATTAAAGATTATAGGTTGTATGCAGTTGATAAGAACCAAAGAAATAAAGTGGAACCATGTTATTCTTCACCAGTATCTGTTATTTCTTTGCTCAAATTTATGAAACGGCATTCTTGTATGAAATATTGGAATACGTAGTGATTATCTGGAGGAACTCCTGTTTAGTGAGATGCACTCTACATGTCCAATTATCTTTCAGTAGTGAAATACAAGGACAAAAGGATGGTATAACTATAGGCTCACCACCAGCCTGCGGATTTTTTCCACGGCGAAACTCAAAAACGCATACTTCAAGAAAATGATTGACGCCTTTGGGTTTTACAAGAGACATGTGGATCTTAATTTTATCTCCAATGATGAAGAAAATTTGGAGGATATTGCAGATTTTATCAACAGATGTCACCCTGTCATACAGCTCACACTAGAGAAGCAATCCGATTCAAAAATATCCTTCAACTCATAAGATCTGACAATGGAACACAGAAGAAATCTATCCACGGAAAGCCAACGTGGAACGGACAGCTCACAAACTTTCATAGATAGTTCCCTTTATATACAAAACGAGACCTGATCCAATTACTGAGCCACATAATCTGCAACATTTTCAGTCCTGACACTAAGGCAGTGTAACTGATCACTCTTAAGAGGATTCTCATCGAGAATGGCTACCCCTTAACGCCTCATGAAGCATACACCACTAAAACCACACACACTTTCTACCCTCTCCCGCCCACAAAAAACTTATCTATCTCAATCTGTAATTCAGTGGGGACTCATCTGCAGAAATACTATGAAACCGCCTGTCCTGTTCATTGAAGAAAGATTTCACAGCTGAACTTCGACTGGCTTTACTAAACCAATAGTTTGTATGAACGTGAAGGATACGCTACCACTGTTGACCTCATAAATGTGTATCTATCATTTCGCCTGCTCCTGTGAAGCTAGATGTATCGGCGGTACTCACAGTTTGCTATCCAAAATTGTTATCGGACTTTTGCCCTCATGGAGGAATAAAATCCCCCAGAATATACTCTGGACACCGACTGAATCCACAAACTGACTTCAGAGTCATCTAAAAGGTACACAGAAACCTTGCCAACGCAGTAAAAATTAAACTTCTTCAAACCGTAGACGCCATGGCAATCCACATGTTACATCCTGAACGTAAGTTAATCCAGTCACTAGACTTATGATGGACTTAATTAGTCTTACCACTTGATATGTAATTTTTGTTAATCCTAGTTGATTAGTTTTTTTTTAACTGATATTTCTCCTCTCCATTGTCACATTTCTAATCCTTATGACACATCTTAACTTGACTCTCAATTGTATTTGAGATCTATTGAAGCCAGTCAATTTACTTATTTAAAATTATTTGAGAAAACAAATGTACCGTGTTTATGTATTGTATGAGGGGATCTCTTGTCTGCTAAATGACTCACCTTAATCTATTCTGAATCTTCAATGAAGACATTAACGACTAAGGTGTTTGTAAAAATTTCACTGATTTGATCTGATTGGAACAGTGCTTATTATATATACATAACCAAAAAATACGCAAATGCTCTCCATTCAAATGGACAGAAATGTTTGGATAATAAAGTATGATGTGCACAGTTACTTGTAGTGTACTCATAAGCTTATACTTACATTTCATTGACTTTACAATAAACGATTACCCAAATAAGAACTGTGGATTAATTCCAAGTGGCTACGTAGATCTACTCAAATTGCGACAAATGCATACAGCAACTAAAACCTGATGTTATGGTAAGTGAACACATGTTTAAATGAAAGCTGTCTACGTGGCTTAGATATTACAAGGTAACTGGTCGATGACCACAAGACTACAAACGGATTTCACAAATACACAACACTGCATGCCCTACTTTATATAATAAATAAAGCAAAACTTGATACTTTGTTGAGTTTCCGACAGTAATTTATTCCCAAATCTCCCCAAATTTCTACATTTATGTATACTAAAAAGTAGAAGCTAGAAAGCAACGAAAATAGGTTCTACCCTATTTTCCCTCATCTTATTGGTAATAAAGTAGAAGCGATTCAACACCTTAAGCAACATATACCGAAATCAATCATGGTTGAGAATAACTTGAACGAAAACTTCAAATGTAACGTAGAAATCAATTTTGTGAAATGTGAACTGACAGTGAAACGGAAAGATCAACAGATGATTACTTTGAAATTGCATTCGCAATAAATAGAACAAATGACAGCTGTAGGCTGATATGGAAGTCTTGAAATCACAACAGCTGTGTGACTTGTTAACTAGTGATACTAGTTCAAATGGAAAGAAAACTTTGAAATTATTAATACATGATCAAAGAGATAGTTATTTAACAAATAAACGCTACTGACCTTCCAAAATTGTGCCAACAGTATGCATGACAGTAAACCAACTGTTAGTATCACATAATTCGCTATCCTTTCAGGTGGTTGCAAAAGATGTGAACAAAATCTATTTGTTTTAGAGTGGCAGAATTTTGTCAAAGGGACATAGACAAGAGGACCCACGTTTGCTATCTAATTATGCGAGGAAGGAAAAATAGGAAAGATTTTTCTCTGAAAATGCAAACAAAAATGACTGATCAATATAAAAAAGCCGGAAAATCCATATGACACAAAATACCACCAGTGAGTGAATGGTTTTATTATACAATGCTAGCCGCAAGGGAAATCTGGAATAGACCCAAGGCGAAAGCTCACCTAAAACCCACCGTTTACTATTTGATGGTAAGCCCTGAAAATATGGGAGGTTGCGCGCGAGGCCAGTGATCCTACACAGTTAAAAATAGCACCATTGCAACGCAAATGAAGAGAATCTACTAGGTAAAACCAGTTCGTATTCCTCTGTATACACGTTTGCTCTTTCTTCGTTTAAACAAACAAATACACTTAAAACAAAACAAGGAAATCTGCGGTGTGTACCTTGAGATTATATTATCGGCATGTGCTACATTCTGTTACCTTTACTGAGTTCCTAAAACTATTTCCATTTGTTTTAATTCTTCCGGACGGTTTGCTAGTTGTTCTTCAGTCTTCTCATTTAGAACTTCACAATAATCTAGTATTCACAATTTTGTGTGATCAATAAAATGTTTGTTATATTTTATGCTATATAAACGGCTGTGTGCTGGAGTAATTGTAAACTACATTCGGTGATGAAATAAGTTTATTACACAGACATGTTTGGATTTAGTCTTACTTAATCCCATGCAATTTATTTGGATCTCTTTTACTTCCTAAACCAGAGATTCAGCAATCTAACAAGTAATGAAAGTTACCCAAAAGTTACCTCTTAAAAACATAATACGAAATGGTGCGACTATTATATCCATGACACCTGAACAAGTAATTTACAAACAAATTATTCTGGATATGAAGTTCAACTGAGAAATAAGTAATATTATACACAATTTGAAGATTCACATACTAATGATCCCTCAGCGGAAACAATCCAGAAATCAATTACCTGTATAATAATTATCAAGTAAGCAGGTAAATTCCAACCTTCTGGTAAGATATTGACTAGTAGTGGAAGCTCAACCCACAAACCATTAACAACAATCCACGATCCCAGACCATATAAGCTGACCAAGCATGCTGCAAGCCATGTGAACTTGGCCCCGTCTTGCGATCCAGTCATTCGGTAGAAGGACAAGTACAAGTGTTTAAATAATTAATACCACACTAGTGAGAATTTCTGCAATAAAGAGTATTAATTTAACCACACAGGCATTCAAAATATATAAAAACGGTACGATTCAAAATTCCCAAGCCGAATAAATATCACCGAAAAATTTTTTTCGGTGCACTTACATTCGTTAGTATATCTGAATTAATTCAGATATACTAACGAATGTAAGTGCACATCTGTATGCAACTCCGATAAATGAGCGAATTTCAGAGACTACAGTACTAGAGCGTTGAATTTAATTCACTTCTTCAGAATAAAATGTAAACTGCATAAAATCATCAAGTATACCTCTAATCAATAAATAAATAAAACCAAGGGACGTTTTCAAACTTATAACTACACAACATACATTTAGTAAGCGATTATGTCTATCTCATGCCTATGTGAATCACGGTTACCAAAGTAAATGTAGAATTTGAATACCGTTCATCAGAAGACTCAGGAACCCAGCATGACCTTGAAACTGGATATACCGTCTCTCTCATCAGTATGGGGTGATACGTTGTCAAGTTGGCCAATCGCTAATCATTTCATGTTTAAGTGCAATAACTTGTGCTCAAAACGCCATCAGTAAATATCACTGTGTAAAACTTTGAGTGTATGTGTTAGTATAAGTCTGGAGAAATTCAATCTTATCTGCGAAAAATCCACCAAATTTACACAAATACCCAAATCCCTTTTACTTGGTTAGTACACTTATCGATAGTAGTTAATAAATTGAAATTAATTGTTTTCAAACTATTCTTTCGGTCACAATTTGAAAGAAAATATCGTTATGTCATTACAATAAGCTTACACTACAGCATGATGTACGAGATAGGATAGCGGCACAAATGGCTTATGGAGAGGCTGAGCACTTCAAGGTCACTTATGCACGCTGTGATTGGTAGATTTTCCTTGGCGTAAACGTTGCGGCTAATACGTGCCTTACGTTACCGAAGCGGGCTTTGAAATAGCAATAATAAAAGCGGATAGACATTATATTTTCTAGCTTAAGGGACCAAGTTAACATGCTTATAAATTTCACAGATGTGAGAAGCATTAGATCCACTTACAAGGAGAATATTACTGGGCAACTTAATCAAAGAAGTATAAAGTTTGAAGATTTTATCTTTCAGTTAATTGCAACGGATGGATAAGAGTCACGTGTATAATATTTGCTTTTTATGGAAGAGAAAATGTGACAGGTGGTTTGGAAGTTACACAATTCCTGAAATATATCGTGGAATATATGGACGACTAATCTATAGAATTTCACCAACTCTGTGGTTGTTCCTTGCTTTGTTCACATATTCAGTGTGGCTAAGTTTAGGAATTGTTCACCAGAGGTAAGATTAATTTACCTGATATGTATATATCCTCAGAATTTTCTCAATATGGCTGAATGCATTCGAAGGAATACAATCTCAATCTCTGCTTGAAAAGTTCATATCTAGTTTCTGCGAACGGATCTGGTGATGACGAAAACTGCAAAGACTGGTTCAACACCACTAACAACGGAAGCAAACGGATACAAATGTTGTGGATAGAGTGTTTGGTGGACTTAATGATGACTATGATGCAGCTACAAAAGAACTCTACAACTGTGATTTTTTCACTGGATTGCTATTAACTCTCTTTAGTGTAGATATGTACTCTTTCATTCTGAGTCAATTTTAACTTTATTGATTATTGTTTCCTTACAAATATATGCATTTATGTTGACTAACATTGTCTCTTTCACTTATCATTTGGACGACATTGCAGAGCTAACGAGAATGATAGGCAACGTATTAATACTTATGTGAAATGCGTCAGTCTTAAACTATTATTACTTCCTCAATGCGTCATCAAGCCTTGCGTAAAGTGTTTCAGTTGCGTATAAGATTAATATTTAAGATCGTTTCGAAAGTAGCCGTCAAACATGTGCTCGTACTGTAATAACGAAACATAACCCAGCAAACGTAGGTTCTATATGCACACGACTTGTGTTATTAGTCTAGGCACTTCAAGTACACAATGCAACTTATATCCCATTTATCACAAATACTCTGTTATTATTATGCTGCGTTTAACACCACTATCTCAAAGGGTATCATTAGGTAATAAAGAGAAAACTACATTACTCTTGTGTTATCATTTCGTATCAAAAGGCTCTTACATGATCACACCAACACTTAGACTCGTGCATTAGTTGACTACGTCACTAAACTTCGTTGATTATTTCGTTATCATGAAATACTGTGACGCATTAAATAGGCCTTTGTTGTGCATATCGTCTATTTAAGATTTACTAGCGAAAGCAATTACTCAAAAGCGACAACAGTACCCCATCGTGACCGAATTCGACAACGTGTGAATATACCATTTTACGAATATTATGACTTCTACACTGATATTACTTTGCAACTCGACAAACACTAGATATTAATAGAGCAGAATTTTTAAAACAATATTTATTTCGATAAATACATTAGTAATATCACAAATATTTCATCATTTACACAAATATTATAGTTTTTAATCCCAATTAGAATGTCTAAATGTATTGAGTGATTGCGGGATTGAAGACCATAATCTGGAAATTAAAAATAAAAATTCAGTCAAGATGTGATGAGTTTAATAAATAAACATATAATACAGTGCCTACTAGTTAAATGACCATCTCTACACCGTTATCTGACGAAGTAAGCAACTCAATTTCCTTTATTACTGTGCAATTTGGTAATAATCATGAAAGCATAATTACCTCCATATTTAACCCCAATCTCATCATATACGTAAAATAAACTTCAAAAATTAGAATTATTTAGCATTTTCTATCACAATTGACATTTTCCAAAGAATTATTTCATTTCTTATGCACCTCGTGATGTCAATTCGATGAAAAGACAGCATTTCGTCAACACAATGAAAACGATTATTTTCCTCACTTTCTACAGGTTTTTTCGTTAAAATACGATTTTCAAAATGCACTTCTGTCGGAAAAACCACTAAAAACAACGTAGAATAGCCCAAACACAACATCACGATAACACCTTAAAACTGCTGCAGTCAGCTGATTTGTGCCTCTATCCTATCCCATGATGTACACAAACACCGGTCTTAGTCTGACCTCCAAAAAACCAAACCCAGTCAAGGTCGAACGCAACACTAACTTAAACGGTACAGAGTCGCATAAAAGAAAGAGGCTACAGTCAGTTTCTAGGTCATGATGAGTTCCTGCGTCGGCTAGTTATATGTTTTCGTGTATTCGTTTCCCATTGAATTTTAAAGGTTTTTCTGGATGTTTCGCTCATTTTGCAGTGTGTAGGTCAGTTTTGTCACTGTATGCTGCTAATTAGCTTATTTTTAGCCTGAAGTTCTCAGTCATTATGTTGGTAGTCAAAAATTATGGTTAACTTGCAATCATTGAGCTAATTAACGTTTACTATGCTAATATAGTAACATATACTATGCTAATAATAGTAACAGTAAACTCCCTAACTGTTTTGCCATTGTTTGACAGTGAAACTGCGCTGGTTTTTCAGCTTGAGTAGCACGAAATCGAACCTACTGGGTTTGCTTATCAACGTTGTTCCAGCCCTCGCAGGACATATTAGGCATGGACTAGCGTTACTCCAGAGCGGAATGTTTTGTAGCAGCACGCAGCTGTCTTTTTAAGCACGACCTGTGTCATTTCAGAACATAGTGGGTAAATAAGATCTTCAGTTACCATTAAAAGGCATTATCGAGGAATAGGTTAGAATAAGTTTAGAATTGTTTTAAGCTTGGTGTTGCTGCTGTCTAAGTGATAAATCGTATTAATCACCGTTATTCAGGATATGCTATGAACTGGAAATGCTCAGCTGAAAAATTAATTAAGACACAGATCGGTGTAATTTATGACGGACTCTAAATCGCTCTCATCACGAAACAGTCAACCAAAGTATGCTTAAACTGTCGCTCTTAACCATTTGAAGGGAAATTTACTTGATTTGTGCTGACCTAGTATGCACAAATCCCACAGGTCATTGGATTGACAACTTAAAAAATAGATTAGTCAACACATAAATTTATCTATATGTACTAATTAAGGACATTAAGTTTTTAGAAATTGTAGTTAAATTATATTCTCCTAGTAATCAAAAATGCATACATCCTATTAACACGCCATTATATTATGGTGAGGTAAGCCCTAGATCATACTGACGGTAAATTTCCGTGTAAAAATAAAAAGATTACCGCCTTAACTTATATTTTGGACCAATAGGAAGCCAGCTAACCAAAAGCCAATCAAAATCTGCCTATATCTATTTTCCGCATAAAGCCCCTCATTTTAATCACCAAAAAATTTCTTTAAGTGAATCTTTTCTTGGTTATAATTCATTGAAGAAAAAGTTTGAATTTCAATATTCTTCTGTTTTATAATAACTGCAGTCGAGATGGAAGAATTATCGGGGATCTACAGCCAAATACAGTGTCGAGATAAATAGTTCACCAGAATTATATACCATAGCATTCTTCATTCAGCCTTGGATAACGACCATCACTGTTTAAATCTATTCGTTAACCTGAAGGCTCACCTCCAAGCACGTCATGCACGTTTATGACGGCTATCTAGCCAAGTAATAATTATTTAGCTCGCATTAAGGACTATCAATTTTGTATGTTGGTTTTTGGCCTAAGTAGAACAAATTATATGGCAGTCTGGTGATGAGGACTTGGATCTTTTCATATCGTACTCTGAGTACAAGTAAAAATATCTTCATCACTTTAAGAAGTAATGGAGGCACTGAGGCTACTGGACAAGCCTCATGCTACAGCGGAGCTATAAGAGATTACATTACTATTCGAACAAAGGGCAGTCATGCACCGCCGACATCAGATACCATCGATGTTGTAATTTAGGGAGAGCTTTCGTACGTTGACGTCCCGAATATCACTGAAATAAGAACTGTGGTGGTCAAGTGGCGTGAGCTGCTGGCAAGATTTATCAGCAATATATAAAGGGATGCTCGTCGGCATAAAAACATCACATAGATGAGAAGTAGATTGGACTTCATAGGAAGCGAATGATTTAGAGTTGCGGAGAAATATGGGAGACGTGGAGGGAACACAGAGAAACTCAGTATGAGGGACAGAAGTAGCACACTCGTAAGATCTCTGGGAAGACAAGGTGTACATGTATATTATATTATTGTTTCCTTTAGTTACTATAGTGATAGGATCCCACATATTTTGGTATTGACTGTTTAAACTTGCATATATGGTATGTTATCATTCTCACACATTTTGGTATTGACTGCTAATTTTGTATATTATCATTCTCACACATTTTGGTAGTGACTGCTAATTTTGTATATATGGTATATTATCATTCCCACACATTTTGTTACTGTCAATGTCGCACATATGGCATATTATCATTTCTCACACACTTTGTTATTGGCTATTAAGGTCAATTATTTCAAATGCTGTTAGCTGTCCATATTGTTGTAAAATGTATAAATACCATGGCTTTCTTTATCGTTGTTGCACCTCAATACACAGTCACAGTCCAGCCTTTGTCTTTTGATATTTGCGTGCTTTACTAAGTCGGAAGGTACGACGAGCAGATAGACAGATTAGTTCAGGCGCAGACAGAATAAGGTGAAAACGTCTTCATTCAATCTCCCCACAGTTATAACATATAGGAACCTAGGACCTAAGCCACACATCTCCATTACGTTCGGTTCTCCACCAACGTTTCCACATGGTTCCACGTCCGCCCACATGCCTTCATCTCCTTCCCACATGACCTCCTCAATGTCACGCTCGCGCAGACGACCGACTCATCGCTTCCCGTTCAGGTCACACTCAAACAATGTCCTGTCGTGTCATGTCACTTGTTCGTTTTCTCACAGTATGGCCAACCCACACCCATTTCTGTTGCACAATCGACTCTACCTGGTTTGGTTCGCCTCCAGAGATCCCTCTCTGTTGCTGGTTTTTTCTGGCCGGCCATCTGATCTTGAGTACTGAGCGAAGACAGCTTTTGATAATCAAACACATCAACTTCATTTCGTCATTTAATACAAAACTACTGTCAGGCACGTCTCGTAAACCGTTAATACCCAGCTCTTGCTACGCAGGGCCTCACGCTGTTCCTCGAAGCTTCTCAGAAACGCTTAGTACGAACGGACGCAAAAACCAGAACACAGATTGGCGACTCGATAATTCTTTATTCTAACAGCAACATATAGCCAGCTTTACAACTAAGATCTATGAACAAATATTACAATAAAAAATCACAATATTACTCCTGACGGTTTTATCCTGACTTCTTTCTGAACAGTGACCGATGAGACGATGACTGGCAGATTGATCACCCGCGAAAATATGGGGAAGTAGGTTTTGAGCAAACAACCATGAGTTGATCGTTCAATCTTCAACTATACTGACAGCAAATCAACATCATTTATAACTCCTTTACGAACTGTGGATATTCAGCTGGGTTTCCGTCGAAGTACCGAGTCTCGAATTTAGTTGATTTTAAACCCCTACTATCCTTAAACTGCGAACAACGAACAATAGACTCATCATGCTGAGCATCATACATATCTTTACATATAACAGGCATGTCAACATTACTTGCGTTCCTGCTTGCTTCCGAGACGCTTTGTCCCTTCTTTGACCCAGGGATCATTGAACTTCAGCAAATATTTCAGAAACGTTCCAGATGATACTCGTCCGAAGAAGACTTGGAGACACTAGAAAAGACGAGCAGAAATTATCCAAACACTATCAGAAACTGTCGTCCAACTCTCAGTAACAGTCAATGTCCAGCTCTTACTACGTTGGACCTCACGTTGTCCCTCAAAGACTTTCAGAAACACTTTGTATTAACCGACGCGAAAACCAGGACACAGATTAGCAACTATAGAATCCTTTATTCTTACGACAATACGTAACCAACAATAAGGTTATTACACACACGATTTCTGATAGTTTTTCATCTTCCAAATGAATAGCGAACGATGAGACGATGACTGTCGTATTGATGACTCCCGCGAAAAGTATGGAGGAGTTGGGTTTGAGCAAACATCCATGAATTGATCGTTTTAATCTTTAACTTCATTGACAACTTCTTTGAATCCCTGAGGGCATGTAAACCACTTTTGTATATAGACCGTGTGCAAGCGACACATGCATACTCTAGTAGTGGACACTATCCTGCTTCAAGCTGTCTATAGAAAGAACCGGGCAATGTGGACACGAAGTACATCGTTCTGATAGGCTTTGACTGCAATCTCCTCCTCAGTATGTTGACACGATTACAGATATCCCCCAGTCTTAAATTCAACTCGGAATTATCTAAAAAATGATACATGTGTGTTCGCTTTTTAAATGCCACTCAGTTAAACTTTTGTAGTATACTTAAGTGAAAAGGAAAGGAAAGCGAAAATACCTCACAACTAAGGTATTTAGACAAGAAAATTATACTAGTGTGCTCCGAAATATGCGATTCGACGGTTGGAATCACTGGAGAAAGCAGGTGTATCCACCTTGTTACTATTATTCAAGCCAGCAGGCCGATAGTTTCTCAGCTGCAGTAGTGACGCCAGGCCCTTAGAATTCACTTGTTATAACTCAGAACACAATACAGGCACGGCGGAAACTGAACGGCTTTAAACAACCACCAGGTAAACTGTTTGCATGGCCAGCGGTAGTTAGAATGAGAGCAATTAACGTTGTGAAGCACGAATGCTATCAAACATACTTCTTTCAAAAAGACAATTAACACAATACCGAGAAATTATACTACAGGCAGGGTGCTAATTTCCGCCCAAAAATGTGGATATCAAGAGACAACCAATTTTGTGACCATTAAACTTAACATCAGAATGAAACAGTGAGATATACTGTTCAAATTTAGTATACCAAGCAAAAACAGATATACTCTGTCAGGTTCCTGCTAAGTAAGCAAAGAATATACTGAAAAATCTTCCAATCATTATGTGTGTCCTTTTTTGAAGCAGCAACACATGCTCTACCTCCTGGGTAATGTTGAGTTTCAATAAGTTTGCGAAATACATGCATGATTTCATGAAAATCCGATAATATACGTATACCACCTGAACTTACTTCATTCTGTGATCCATTACATTGTTCAGACATTATCAAGCACTATTTTCTTATAAAAGTGCAGCAAATGTTACTCATTTCAAGAACACAATTAGACTGGCAATATATACGTAAGAAAAGGTGTTCAATGCAAATTTTTATCTAAAATGCCCACAAAAGCATGGTTTGCCATTAACCAAACGTAGCAACGGACCACTACGAAAAGGCCAGTAGGGATGTGCAATGGATGATAAATCCCAGCTGTTAGACGCAGCTTATGAGAACGAAGGAAAATCTCATCCTAATGACGCAGGATCTGGTGTAAAGTACATGAAAAGATGAAGACTTTACGTGTAGCCTTATTGTTGTATCTCTAACTTTGATAAAAATGCAATGATATTCTCTTACTGAAAATTATATTTAGCTCTCAACCGATTTTCTCGCCATTTCTAGGATTTCTATATTCTCGCCCATATTTTCACCCCTGTGCCTAAAAATGAACGTAGAATTAGTCACAATATTTTGGGACAATAAGCTATTCTCAAAGTCGTAAATATGGAGTAAGTGGTCGGTCTAGTTTTGAAATGTTCAGTCGTCGATATTTCAAGGGACACTTTTAAAATTTTGGCGAATGTCTGACTTATAGCACTCCAAAGGTGTAGTGCTTATTTTCAATGCTTTTCTTGAAGTAACTGACATAGTGAATTACCTAGGATTGGTCACGCCAAAAAACATTATCATCAGACATAAGCACTGATTTTATTATGAGTCCTAAATTCTCGAAGAAGCGAACAACTTTGACCCCAAATATTTTTTCAGTTGAATTAATGGTGATATATGTCGTGTGAATGATTTTGACGATGTAAATCTAAAAAATCCTGTGTACGTCTGGAAAGATAATCGAATTAAGCTGTTATTATCATCTAGCTTCTACTATGGCATCAAGGTATAGTTGACATTGGATGGTCGGAGGAAATCCGCAGGAAGCCTTGAGCCTAAGTTTCGTGCTAGTTGGCGCTTGTCAGCAAGACGTATCTGCGATCACCTTGAAGAAACTCATGTCCCTTCTGAGATTTGAACCCGTATTACCAAGTGCTGCAGTCAGACACGTTTCCACTGAGCTATTTGGGTTCAATTTTACCTCCTGTAGGACTGTACTGGATACTTTGATTAGAGACTAGTAAATAGTACGTGTGTCCAGTCCCTTCTTTGGTGTAGACTGAACTCCGTCAGTCAAGTTTACAATGTGGCCACCATTCTACATAGCTCGCCATCACGGTTTACTTTGTATGGTTGATTTTAGATGACGAGGTACATAGAATGGTGCCCACATTGCAAACCTGACTGATAGGATTCAGTCTGCACCAAAGAAAGGACTAGACGTATCACACTATTTACTAGTGTCCAATGAAAGTACCGAGGCATAGTGTTCAAGCTAATTTGGACAAAGCAGCAACAAGCCCGCTCAGTTTGACGATGATGCGAGTTATCGTGGTAGGAATAACTGATCATGTTACTTTCACGCACGGAAAGAGGAATACGGTAGGTATCTGACAGCGCATATGCATATTTGAAATAAGGAGTTAAATTTTTGTACTCTTACTCGTGTCGTCATTTGTCGGCTCTTATAAATTAAAATTTTATGTTACTTTGATGTGCATCTATCAGAATCAGGCATCTTGGTCCAATGCATAAAGATTACTGTTATTTCGTGACTACTGTTGTAGCAAAGTCTGCATCTGCAGTAAGGTGAGCACCTCACTAAAAACCAAATTATGGAAGAGAGCAGACCCAGTTTCCCTATAGCAGTTTTCAATATTGAACACAGTTTGGGCAAGTTGTTGAGCGCATTGAAGACCCTTCGACAAGACCATCACGTGCGGTATCAACGTTTTCTATCCTGCTTTTATGCAGTGAGATGAATGTTGTGCTCTTTCATGAACATCCTATATCTGGGAGAAGTGTTGGACTTGCTATTAGTAACATCTCTACATGGATTCTTAAAGCCTACAGGAATAACTTCTTCAGTGACTACCATAAGTTACTGCATCTATTATGTATATTGTCTGGATACATCTCAGATAAAAACTGGCGTGTTCACACTTTTGTATCATGTCATCAGAGTGAGAAAGAAACAAGAATGCGTTTATCCTCAAGCCTGAAAAGGAAAACATTTTGATCAACACAGTCTCTGTAAAAAAATTTAACAAGTACTAGCCACGGAACAACTGCCACTGTAAAAGTTTCAATTGGAATCTGCAGCTACGACCGATTACTATCAGTACTTGCAGCTGAAGATGATTGCCCATGATTTCTCATCTCCTTCCCGTACGATCTCCTCTTAAGACGACCCACCTGTCGCTTCCCGTTTGGATTCCACTCAAGCTATGACCTGGCCCGTGATATCATCCATTGGCGTCCTCACTGTGTGCCCAGTCCATCTTCATTTTCTTCGGCATATTTGTTGAGCAGTCGGCTCTTGGTTGGTTTGTTCCACCGCAGAATATCTTGTTGCAGACCCTTTCTGGCCATTTGAACTTCAGTATGTAGGTAGGCAGTGAGGACAGCAGATGTTGATGAAAGTCTGAAACCTATTGGAAATCCCTTTGCTGATACGCAGTGCAAGCTTCCCGTATTGAAGTGCTAACTGACTCTACATTTGTTTTGGAAATCCGAATCTTGTTGTTTTAGCCGACTGAGTGAAGCAGAAGATTTCCAAACTGGTTCCAGGTTGATGAAGTCGTATCTTGCCTTTCCCATTCTGGCTGGCTCTCACATCATCCATTCCGCCTGTGGTTGAAATCATGCTTCCTAGCTGGATAAGTGAAGGGGGTAACCTCTGTTAAATCTCTCCCATTGATTGTGATTGGTGCTGGTTGTTGCAGTTGTTATGGCTCGTTAGTTATCTTTATCACCTCCGACTTCAACTTCTTTATGTTCACCTGCAATCCTGTTTTCGCAGGCTGCTACTTCAGCCAGGTTGTTGGCTTTCGCCTGCAAGTTCTCGGGTGTGTGTGACATTAAACATAAGTCATTTGCGAAATCCAGATCTTCTAGATGGAGTCTTTTTATTGTTGGTCCAGCGAATTCCTGTCTTCTTAGTCCTATTCACAGTCTGACGCATAATCCACCACCATTAAGAATACCATCCGTGATAACAGGTAGCCAGCTTGTCTTACTCCTAAATTCATTTCGAACGCCTCACTGAGATATCCGTTTTGGATCACCTGACACATGGCATTGTCATATAGTCATCTATTGGATGAGGTTGATAAAGATTCGGGCACGGCACGCCCTCGTGTCGAAAGAGTTTCCGAATTACCCCTTGATCAACGCTGTCTGTCGAAGGCCTCTCAAAGTCGATGAAGTTGAGATAGATAGAGGTGTGACTAGCATTATATGCTTCGTTCTGCGATGATGACGCTTGGACTTGCAATGTAATCAGCACATCATTTGCATTTCCTGAATCAAGCGTGTACCGACTGAAGTTCTGCATCCAGTGCATCTTTCACTCTCTAGGGTGATCCGAATTGGTATTTTACTTGACGCGGGCGAGAGCATGATTCCACGCCAGTTCTTGAAGAAGTGTTATTTACCTTTCATTGGCGGCTCGACAAGGTAGCCAGCATTTCTTCCAATCTGTAGGCATCTTTTCTTCCTTCCAAATCTTTTGCAATAATGGCATCCGTGTATCTGCTGCAGTCTGTGGATGAGGTAACTCCGTTTAGTCCCGCTGCCTTCCCGGACTTCATTGGCTTGATCGCATTCAAGACTCCTACCTTCACTGGAGGACTGGTGCCCACTGGCAGGCAGTTCTCTGAATGTTGTTGATGGTATTTCTGGGCGGTTTGCAGATGATGGCCGACTCAAAATTGATCAGCCCAATGTTTTATTTGTTTCTTCACTCTGGTAATTAGCTTCTCTTGAATGTCTTTTATCATTTTCATCATCTGGGTTGATCTCTTCCCGGAGAGAAACCTGGTTATCTGATATAATGTCCTTAGGTCTCTTTTACCTGCGGCCTGTCCTACTTCAGTTGCCTGCCAGTGTGTCGGAGAATTGTCTCTTGTCTTCCATAGCACTCTTCTTCACTTCTTTATTTTAAAGTAGTTTATACTGGACCCAGCTTTTCCTTCTGTTGCATTGAGTCATCTTCTCCTTCACCATCTTTCCATTCTCTCTTTGATAAGCTTCCAGGTATCCGTTGAGGGCAGTTCTTTGTCTTGTCTCCTCTTTGTTCCTAGAACGACTGTACACGTTTCCTTGAAAATCACCTCCAGAGAGTCCCAGTGTTCCTCCATACACACAGGTTCCCTCAGTAAAGCCACGTATTGTCTCCGACTTTGCTCTAATCTGATCTGTATTGAAGGCACTCTTTGTAGTTTTGTCCTTCAGTATCTGAATGTTGAACTTGAATTACAGTGGCCTGTCTCCAGTTTTTCCGAAGGATTTCTGCGTAACCTTAAATGTTCCTCGAACAAGATGATGGTCAGAGCCCACATCTGCTCCCCTTCTTGACTTCAATTCCAGCAGGCTGTATCTCCACTCCCTTGAACAACGTTGAGATGAAGTCTATCTGGTTTGTTGTGTGTCCGTCAGGTGAAATTCATGTTGCTTTGTGTATATCCTTGTGTTTGTACACGCCGCCTTCGATCACCAGATCACTGAAAGGGCAAACTTCTGCGAAGAATTCTCCGTTCTCATTCATTTCGGCGAGCGAGAGCCTCTCAACCCATGATGAGTTCTTTTCCTGCATTATCTGCTCCTGGTTCAGCTGGCATTCATATTGCCTATAAGGATTTTGATGTCAACATTTGGGATGTTGTCGATCACTGTCCATAAAAATCTTCCTTCTCTTGTTCCGCGTTGTTTGTAGCACTGTGCGAGTTGAATCTTGCAATCATGATTCTGAAGGAAATTGGTTCCCACTGCTTTAGGGCCTTGGCTGCCACTGGTGACATCATGATCGCCACTTACTTCCTCAGTGGGTTTTTGGTTTTTGTCTGGATGACCGGAGTAGGTTGCTAGTTCCACTGTTGACAATTTTTACAGTCCGTATCCATTCCATTCGGTCTTGTAGATACCCAGCAACTCTATGCGAAAACTATACATTTCGTTGGCTACCTGCTTAGCGTTCCTACTCTCGTACATAGTGCGGGCATTCCACGTCCTCACTCTTATTCTTGCTTTCATCGGAAGAAGACACATCGACTGACTGGTTTCCGAAGGCTTTCGGCAGCCGGCTGTGTTGTTTTGCCTCCCCGATTCCAGCGAAGAATAAGTTTAAAAAACATTTTTCGTATTTTTATTGTAAGTTGAAGTTTATGTAACAGTTTGACTGATTTTCTGTGGTAAGATCGCTAGCCAGACACCCCTCCCCCCTTTACCCCGTGCGTGGGACCGGCTAGAAAACTTGTAGGGGATAGTTAACTAGTACTGTCCCTAGAGAGATAGCACTTAATTATTTCTCTATGGGAAACTGCTAACAGTTTGCTCAACCAACAGCTACAGTCCAGTGGTACCCCATGAAACGTTAGATAATAGGACGTATATATCAGCAGTCCAAAAGAAGGCTAGGTGGCAAAAGCTCTCTCCAGTCTTAAACTACGAAAACCACCAGAACCTGATATTTCGATTTTAGAAATGTTTGGAGGTGGCGGAGACTAATTATTGTTTAGATTTACCAGGATGCTAGCTGATGCATGAGGATTCAAAATTGTTCCATTAAACTGGTATAGATCCTCAGTTATTCTGGTTTGTAAGAAAGTAGGTGACTATTTCTGTGATGGTTCAGTGAAGATTTCACCAAGCGATACAGTACCTAAAATCCCTTATTACGCAATTTTATGAAGACTGATTGGAAACTTAGGAATTCCATGCAGGTTTTAGACCCAGAAGAGTGTTCAGTGGGGTCTTCACATTTCAATAGGTATACATTACTAACATTCAAAACTTTCCATGATACCTTATCTGGAGGCTGTATTTCGCCATGTCAATGAAACAGTTTTGTGCCAATACCTGACTATGAAGTATGAGTTTAAAAATTTATATTATATTCATGAGGATACTGTGTTCAAACTCTTGCAGTCTTGCATGTATTTGAAAACATTGGTAGCCTGGTGTGATAACAACCAACTTCTATCATCATAGTTTTCCAACTTAAATATTCTTGAACTTAACTTAACTACATATATGCTGACATTTTTCAAGATGCTAAGAATCATTAGTTGGGGACTAATGGTAAAATAGACTGTAGCTAGATAAGTGTACCTATCATGGGAATACTAAAAGTGTTCACTAATTTTCACTTAATCATCCTTTTTGAAAATTTGTCAGTCATTCACTCACAGAATGCAGTTTTTCACGATATATAACCTTCTTCACTTTTATTGAGTGACTGAATATTATTGACGAAACGCTCCAAACTTAGGTTTCACGCTTTTCAGTAGTCATCACCTAGGCATACTAGAAACTCTGAAAGGAATAATGTTTCCTCAGATACTCATTCCCATATCCTCTCAATCCTGCAATTAGAAACATTAGCAATCAGCCACGCGGAAAGTGACTGATAACTTGCGGTAGTAGAATGGGTACTTCTGTCGGTCAGTGTTATCGCCTGCTGAATGTATTCTGTCACCTAAGCTTGCAACTTGACCACCAATCTGGAAAACGTGCTCTCTCGGTACACGTTGAAATGACTCAAGACTGTAGAGGGATAGCAATAAATGGTCCACTTAGATTGCATGCGAAAATGAGTCTCCTGGTTTGGTGACTAAATGGCAAACTTGGCTGGAAGAATTCAGTTAGATCGAAGGACTGCAGGATATGATAATGGTTATCCCCGAGTGATCGATCAAAGTGTTCTACATACCTGTTGCATACCAATTTCACAAGCATAGTTTTGATAAATGAAAAGAAGTAAATTTAATAACAGTTACTGAGTGCCAGATATAAGTACTGTCAATTAAACTACGTATTTCATACTTTTTAATTTTCCACTGAGTATGACTGTTTTTCAGAGACTGTTCGCAAAACATTTAGATGTAATCTTTAAAAATTGATTAAGATTAACTTGTCTGTTTCCCTGGTAATCATTTTACTTCCAGCACTTCATTGTCCGCTTAAAGTCAAATAATCAAGAATGGTGTGTATGCAGAACTTATGCAGAATTTCATGCTATCTACTTGAAAGTAATTCTTTCTCTTCTATTGTATAATTATGTTTTTTTCCTCTTCGTTGAATAAAAGTTAAAACAATCGTATGACTGCACTGGACTACAGTTACCAGCGAATAATTTTCTGACCAAACTGGACATCGTTTTTTCAACAAACAGACGTAAAGCCGTGCATAATTTTGTTAACAAGCTTGTTTCACCTGCTAACAGCTATATGAAGAAGTAAGCTTCAATCAAAAATCTCACTATTTTTCATTGTAATGATAACATCAAGTATGTATGTGTTATTTATCTGTCTTTTGTTCTCTTCTTTTCTCTCTTCGAAAGTGAAGATGTACAAACTTTTTTGGATTTGCATAAAGTTGAGGAATTGCGGAAAGAAACGTTATCAAAAGAAACTGTAAGCAGAATATTCTTCGTAGTTTTATTTTCACCTCCCTTCTTTTCACTTGCTCCTTCTGCTCTCCAAAAACAAGTTTCTTGTTTACTTTTATAGGATTTAATTGATCTAGGACGAACTGAAGATAAAAGGTAACTACGAATCGACAAAATCTGATAATGAATAATAATAACAACCTTTTTTCTTGTACAGAGCGTCTTTAAATGATTTCGAAATAGTGAAGACTATTGGTGAAGGGAATTTTGGCAAGGTATGTTTAAAGCTGTTCATTATTCAGTGATCATATAAAAAGTGTATGTAGTGGACAAAAATGTGACTGGATAGAATCATATAGTCAGATCACAGAAAAGATAGTATTCCTCAGAAACGTTTAACTATCAGATTTATTGGAGTAACACGATTTTAACTTTTTCAGCTTTGGCACAAAGGCATGTACAGTTATCCTTAAGCAGAAGACACAAAATAACACTTAGTTTGTATCTTCAGTGAGCAGTCTGATGCTTGTCGTCTATGCTTTAAGTTATCTAAATTTGTCTCATATTGTCACAAAGAGCAATATAAGAATTTCTACCGTAACTGTAACGTCAACTGAAATAAATTATACTTTATGTGCAGGAATTATATAAAACTGAGTTGAACTGTATTTTCGACACTTCATTACTTAAACTGAGAAATAAGAATGCCATTATGCTTGTTTTTACTTTTGCATAATTTTCACTTGTTATTAATATTATTATTCTTTTGGGTTCCGAGTGGAACATAGGACTTCAGCACCACATCTCCATTTCCCTTTCGTTCTCTACAATCTCTTTTATCTAACTTCCTATAAGCTTGCATTCTCTCCCCATTTAGTCTCCTTGATGTCACTCTCGGATACCCATAGTTTCCACTCATCGACAGAATGATAACCAGGTTTCTACAGGTACATCATATTATCCAACTACCTAAAGATAACAAACAATACAAAAATAAAGAGTATTATAACGTCAAAGTTAGTTACTATTGACATCATCAATGAGTACATATTTAAGTGTCTCGATAATGAAATTACATTCAAAATATTCTTTTTGACTTAAAAAAAAGCGTATCACAAAAGACAATGAATATTCTTGATACAGTCAGGTAATGGATACTGGTTTGAAAGTATCAACATTACATAGTTTTAAAAAGTCAAACACGTTGATGAAGAATATTTTGGAGCCAATTACAGAAAGACGATCAAACTATGTAATATATATATATATATATATATATATATATATATATATATATATATATATATATATATATATATATTACTGATAAATATTATTGCATCATTGTGTGATTATATCAAATAATTTTTCTCTATTATGGAAATATACTCTGCCAAAGCGCCCAAGTTCTATTCTTATATAGGTGTGAAAAAAAGGTTTCTAAGAACTGAGCAATGATTAAAGGAAGGTGAATCTCCGGCTTATAAATAATATAAAAGAAACTGAAACATGATACCTAATGAAAACAGCGATCTATGCAATATCTCGTTTAAAATGAAAGATAGCTGTCTGTAAATGATTCCAGTGATGATCGTCATGATGAAAAAAGTACATCTGATCTACAGCTTTTATTTCCATTGAAATCATGAATGACGCTTACATCACTAATACTCTTATAACTGTACCAGTTCATAAAGATTTTACAAAAAAATATCTTTACAACAGGAAGAAGATTTGAAAACACCTCTTTTAGTAGACAACTACTGCACATAAAGTTATTCATTTGTGACCTCTAAAGAGAAATAATTCTGGTAGCCAAGTTGGTCTTAACATGAATAACAAATATGTTTTATTTATTCAAAAAGAAATATTGTCACTAAATCTTTCTATTTATTGGGTGTGAAGGAAAATTTAGAAATAGACAAGTGAAATACTTTCATGGAACCAGTAATTACGTTCGAGAAAAGTATGGTAATTAACCTCAATATAAGAGCAGTTCTTGAGCATTGTGATACACTACAGATCCGTCTTAATTAATTATTTAGCGTTCATATTGTCAACAGCTGGCTCATTTAGATCTCAGCTTCGGTTTATCCATTCCGTGTTGAACAAACTATTGTAAGATTTTACGAAGACATGATTCTGAGAAGTAACTATCTATATTATTATTCATAACTTAAGTATGTGAATTTTTCTGACGACATAAAGTTTCAGCGCATTCTGTGCTTCTGGATAGTAAGTTACTGAAATATAGTGCGTAAGATAACAGCTGATATTCACCTATCGATCTAACATCTAATCAATGTTCAGACAAGTATACTCTTTTTTGAAAAATAAATTATACGTCTATATATATATATATATATATATATATGAGTGCTTAAAAGATTCTTGAATGTTGTATCCTTCTATTAAACAAAATATTCAAGGTATACCTAGCTATTTCACGTAAAACCAATGAAGCATTAGCTATAAAAGTGTTGAAGAAAGATGCAGTTAAACAACGCAAAGAGGTTGATAATGTAATGTCTGAACGTAACGTTCTAGTCAAATCATTAAATCATCCATTTCTGTGTAAATTACACTTTTCATTTCAAAGTACAAATAAATTATACTTTGTCCTTGACTATATCAATGGTGGTGAGGTAAGTACTATTTTTTGAAATTGTAGTCTGATTATTTACTATTGCTGTTTATTCGTCAAAAATTATAATAGTGTTTTATGTTGCCTCATTACCGTAAGATTTATTTCCACATGGATGTAATTTCAAAGTCCATACGATTTGAGTGTACGTTAAGAATTTTTTTAAATATGAGTTGATTTGTAAATCAGTTAAGCCTCATGATAAACATCTTTATCTATATATTGTTTTGATTTAGAATATTTTTCTTTATTACTGAAGATAACACCAACCAGTGCAATAGTGCTCAGAATGTACTACTGAAAAACTTATTAAGTTCAGTGATAAAACAAAGCTCAGCAATAAAATCTTTTGACCCTGATGAATAGTATACAACTGACAAAATAAATGTCGCTATCAGCTCCAGCGATTTAAGTGTAGAACTTTTATTATTTGTCTAGTTATCAAATCAACTTGTAATAAGAAGCCGAAATAACCAAGTATATATTACTTATTGCTGAGAGAGCAGTCATCACAAGGCTCCAACCAAGACTATGCAGTCAGAGGTAAAATCTTTACCTTTACGTTTATTCACTATGATCACAGTCTACAGTAGAATGATTGCATTTTTTAAACCTACGACCTATTGTTGCTCTACAGACTTATTTCCTGGACCCTGCCCGTTCTATCCTTGAGGTCTTTGTGAATCAACAAATCAAAACTAAGTAACTTATTATAATAATTATCCCTCTCTAGTTAATTACAGTATCTATTTATTGCGAAATTTCTCCTCAAAAAATTTACTTTAACACCCTACAAGTAGTCAGTGTTTTTCTCACTTTCTTAACCAACCCATGCCTCCTTTTCCGCTGTAGAATATACTTAAATAAGTCAAGAGAATTTGAGCTCTCATCTTCTTCTTAAAGGGTTTCACAGCTATTGTAACTGCACAGAAGACTAGAAGAACTTTTGCATATATCAGTGTGTGGATATAATTTTCCACCATGAATTTCTTCATGAAATGCTTTTTGAATACCGAATACACGTGATCAGTAATAAGTTCAAAAATAGGACTCACAAAAACGTTTAGATGATGACACTTTTTTAGACGTATTATTGTATCCTTTAATTCCTAGAGGAACATAGGGCTTCAGCCGCCTAAGTCTCCATTGCCTTCTGTTTTCTGACAACTTTTTCACTCCGCTCCAAGTCTGTCCACATGCTTTCATCTCCTCCTCGCATGACCTCCTCCAAGTCACCCTCACACTGACGACCAACTCGCCGCTTCCCTTTTGGGTTCCACTCGAGCACTGGCTTGTCTAGTGATGTCACTTGATGGTTTCCTCAGAGTATGGCCAATCCATCTACAATTCTTCCTGCCTATTTGTTTCACAATCGGTTCCTGGTTGGTTCGCTCATTGCCAGAGATCCCTGTTGCTGGTCTTTTCTGACCGGCCATCTGATCTCGAGTATTGAGCGAAGACAACTGTTAATGAAGGTTTGAAGTTTGTTTGAGATGCTCTTATGACTCGCCAAGTCTCTGATCCGTATAGTAGCACTGACTGACTTTACATTGGAGTTGAAAATCCGGATCTTATTTTTGATGCTGAGTGATGTTGACCTCCACACAGACTTGAGAGAAATGAAAGCTTGTCTTGCTTTTCCAATTCTGGCTTTGATATACTCGCCAGTTTCGCCTGTAGTTGAAACGATGCCTCCCAGGTAGGTTAGTGAAAGAGGTTGTTTCTTTCAGGTTCCTCCCATTTATGCCGGCTGATTGTTGTCTGTTGTTGTTGTTGCTGTTGTTATTGGCCAGGAATCTTCATCACCTCTGTTTTATCTATGTTCACCTGAAGTCATACCTTCTCCGGATGTTTCTTCTGCCAACTTGTTGCTTTTCACTTGCATATCTTCCAATTTGTGGGAAATCAGACATATATCATCGTCGAAGTCCAGATCCTCCAAGTTTTTTGTGTGAGTCCATTTTATGCCTGTTTCCTCATTACCCGTTGTCTGTCGCATTATCCAATTTCCTGCAGTCAGGAAGATCATTGGCGATAATAGGCAGCCTGGCCTCACTCCCGTCCTCACTTCAAAGGCTTCCGTAAGTTTCCCGTTGTGGATTACTTGGCATGCAGCATTGTCGTATAAGTGTTGGATGAGATGTGTAATTGTCGATGGGACCCCGTAGTAGCGAAGTAGTTACCAAATGACCACTCTGTCGACGCTGTCGAAGGCCATTTCAAAGTCGATGAAGTTGAGATAGAGAGGTGATTGCCATTCCAAGCTTTGTTCAATGATGATCCGTAGAGTGGCGATTTGATCCATACATGATTGTTTTCTCCTGAATCCGGCCTGTTCCGGTCGAAGTTTTTCATCCAAGTTGGCGTGTTTGATTCTCTCCAAGATGATGCGGCTTAGAATTTTGCTTGGGATGAATAGGAGCATAATTCTGCGCCAGTTTTTGCATTGACTTAAGTCTCCTTTCTTTGGTAGTTTGAATAAGTATCCGTTCTTCCAATCCTCGGGTACTTTGCCCTCTTTCCACACCTTCTCCAATAATGGCGTTATCAAGTCCGCTGTTGTCTCCGGGTCTATTTTCAGTGCTTCTGCTGGGATTCCATCCGGTCCTGCTGCTTTCCCAGCTTTCAGCATCTTGATTGCCTTCAGGACTTCTGATTTCGTCGGGAGATCAATGTTCACTGGTAGTTCTGCTTCCGTTGTTGGTATTGTTGGGCGTGTTGTAGGTGGCGGACGATTTAGAAGTCTTTTGAAGTGTTCAGCTCAGTGTTTTCTTTACTCCACCTCTTTGGTGATTGACTTTCCATTGTCATCCTTTATTGGCTTAATCTGTGTCGAACGTTTGCCCGATAGGTGCTTAGTTGTTTGGTAGAGTGTGGCGAGGTCTCCTTTGCCCGCAGCTTGTTCTGCTTCAGTTTCCATGGCCTCATAATATTTTCTTTTATCTTCCCTGGCACTCTTCTTCACTCTTTTGTTCAGCGTATTGTAGCTTGCATTCAACTCCTGTTTTTGTTGCTCGTCGGTGTACTGGATAATCTTTAGTTTCACCATCCTTCTCCCTTCTATTAATTTCCAAGTGTCCGCAGTGAGGCACTGGATTCCATCGAACATTTCGGACGGAATTCATACCTGTCTTTTAGACATAGTTGAATCTATTGTGTACGAAATACGTTTGCTCTATCTTCGTTTACCTTTTGACTTAGGTGAATCTGATGGTCTAATTAAACCCTCCCACACCCTCATATTCATCATTTCTTTTGTACTTCTGTGATATTTATTCAAAGTGCAGTAGTTTACCAGGTTCATCCTTACAACTAATCAACTTTAGAACTCTAAGTTTTTGACCTAATCAAATTTTTGAATTGTACTCATTTACATACTATCTGGATAGCATTATTAAAAGATGAAACACTTCTGAAAAATGTGATGTATTTCCGCAATACATTTCTTAACTGATAACTCAGTGTTTTACTAAGCGCTACGACTGTTCTTATAACTACTTTTGAAACCTATCGTGATATCGATCTTGTGACTCATGTCAATTAAGTGTTTCTGTATGGATAAAGTTGACAGTCTTCCAAGAGCGTTAATCAGGGTTTTACAGTTCATTTGTTTTTCTGACCATCTGGATGCATGTTCTCTCACCTTCATGTGCAAACAGCGATTACTCTTTCCTGTGTGTGACTACAAGCATATGTAAACTGCTTTATAGTATGCAATGCGACATAACCATTAGGGGAATGGTGAGGTAAAGCACGTTTTTGGCTCCTTTATTAATTATAAATAGTAAGTTTTACAACTGACCGAATTTAATCTCTGTTCTAAAATCTTACTGTTTATTACCCTATTGTAAGATAATCTGATGTAAATATCTTTCTATAGGACCTTTTAAAAACTCCAGAGGATATCCGTTTTCGACAAGCGTATCCGTTACCACTTTATTGTCATCACCTATAGCATCAGCTAACAAGATACGCTGAATTCTCTTAAATAAGAACTTAACCAACCCCCTTCTATATTCTAGTGAGCAGAAAATGAGGAAATTTAAATACTATCCTTTTCTCATAGGATTCTTGTAAATTGACTGCTGTATTGGTTCATTCTCTCTCTGACTGGAAAGTATGGATAGGAATGCGTGTGGTATGCAGCTTTCTTCCTCACATGTAAAACTGATGTGTTTTCGCACACAGTTAAGTCTATACAGTAGTCGAGTAGCACCTTCGTGATTATGGCATATTATAACAATATCATCGATGTACCTCCCATAAAAAGGCATCTTAGCATTCAAATCACCAGACAAACTTTCAATGTATGGAATATGCACATCAGCTAACAATGATCCCAAATGTTCTGAACCTTTTATTGTGATTTTGACTTATTTTGCGACACTCCAACCCCCCTTATACGTTGAAACAGATAATCCCTTATTAGCTAAAAAATCACTATTTAATTTGTGTAAGTCTGATGCATTCTATCACAAAACCGGATGTCTGTGTAAAGTGGGTTATAAGAAACTCAGTGAAAAGGGATATATTTCTTCACTCAACTTCTTATCTTCTAAACATTCTATGATAATATCTCTTGGCATATATTCTGAGCCGTGTGTCTGGGCATGTCATGTGCATTCGGAATAACTATCCTGACAGCTGGTCAATGAAATAACATGCTAGGTTATAACTTGATTCTTTCCTCTTACCTTACTACAAAATACATTTTAAAATATATCAGTTTTATACACTGGATATCAGAAACGTTAATGTACGTATATTTCGTATAGTTGAAGGTTAAAAAAGTTTTTAATTTTGTCAGTCCATGCCAGAAGTGTAACATTCATCAACAACGGTTCTAATTTTTAAAATTCATCTTTTTTTCATTATTATTTGATCTATTTTACAGTTATTTTATCACATTCAGCGCGAACGAACGTTTGCTGAACCACGGGCTAGATTTTACGCTGCACAGATAGCCTCTGCTCTAGGTTATTTGCATTCAGAAAATATAATATATCGGTGAGTTATAGAAGCACACACATTCCATACATTCTCCATATATATGTATATATATATATATTCTTAATTGCTTTGGGGAGATGTATTTTTCAAGAAAAAGCTTTCACTCACTGTTGAAAGCTACATTAAGGTTGTACAAATAGATTTTAGACAGTTTGGCAGTGCATTATTCCATAGCAGACTAACTTATATGATATATCACACAGTGGTAATTTTACTGATGACATTTTGAGCACATTTCGCTACAAGTCATATTGGTGTGATATTCATAATCACTGAAATTTTAAATGATATTAAAAATTTCATGGAAACAGAAAGGAAAGCTGATTGCCGTTACTATGATTTAAAGAGAGAAGTGTCTATTTTAGGGACCATTAGGCACTTGATTCCTTAGATTTGTTGAAAGTGGAGATATGGACTCAGCAGTTCACTGAGCAGACTGGTCACCTGAAGAAAAAGAAAGAGAAGATGGCAATTGTGTCTCACAGTGAATTATAGCTGTTGTGTGTTTATGAGTGTTAAGGTTAAAATGAAACTGTTTCTAGTATTTGTTGGACAGATTTCATTTTCCTTCTAAAATACATTTTCAAACCTATGGTGAGATTTTGAGCTTGCAAGACAACGCTTTATCATGACAATGTTTTTCTTTTTCATTAAAAATAAAAGTTGGCCTTTTTTTTACCGTGTTAATTGTAATAAGTACATCCTCTTTACGATCCTTTTGAAAGTGATTTAAAGCCTGAAAATATACTGCTTGACAGTAAGGTGAGTGATTATTTGTGTATATTTATCCCGTCCCCCTACACCAATTATTACTTCTTGCAAATGTCCTCAATACAAATTAATTTCTCTCCGGGGTTTTTGTCTGCTACAGAATTTCTTATTTTTAAATTAAGTAAACTTTAACCTTTTGTTTTGCTATAATTTATAGATAAAACTATCCCTTTAGTTTTAACAAATGTGGTGTGCGATCATTTTGATTATTACACACACTAATACTTCAGTGAAAAGTGTTCATTGCCTTAGCCATTAATGATTTTTTTGAAAAAGAGTTTCATAGGACACAAATATGAGCCAAAATCCCTTCAATACCTTTTTCCCCCCTTGGAATTCAGTCACCTTTTTATACTGTGAAGTGATTTCTTCACCTCAGAAAAATTATTTAGATGATTTTTAAAAATGACAGGAAACGGAAATGTAGTGAAGTAGCAGTTGATGATTTCTGACAGAACAGAGTCTACAAATTTGTGCGACATTTACGAAAAGATTCACAGTTGCTTAGAGCTTTGGAATCCTACCCTGGAATACAGTCGGAACTAACCGGTAATCAGGATTCACATTTCATTTCTGACGCTTGCAGTCAAGAGAAAGATAGATAACTTTAAGAAAATTCGTGTTCCTTCGAGTTCTTTCAAGTTTAATTTCTCTTTTGCGGATTCTTATTACGAGTACCTGTCATCAGTTGAGTGATGACAAGGAATAAATAATTGCATGTAGGATTTCATCATGAGCTGACATCAGTTAGAGAACCACTGGAAAACCTGGGAGTACTGGACAGCTGTTACATCCTAGTTTGGGACTCTTCATCAGTACTCACCCACCGGGGTTCGAACCCAGGACCTTCTGGTTACAAGGCGACCTCGTAGACCATTGAGCCACTGGGACCCGATCCAGTGGTTCTTGAATTCTAACTTCTGCCACTTCACGACATGGCGCGACCATAAATAATTATCATCACTGACATTCATTGACCAACTTAATGTTAGATTCTAGAATTTATTCATAGACTATTCCCTCCGCTGTGAATGGGCTATCTAAAAAAATCATTTGATGACCTTACGTAAGCTAAGTCAGCATGAAATAACGATGGAGCAGTAGAAATGGCAACGGATGATTCATTAAACTTGCTTACGTTTCTTTTGACGAGTTGGTCACGGACTGATATCAGTTAGAGAACCATTTAAAATCAGGGAGTACTGGACATCTGTCTCAGCCTGGTTTGGGAATCATTGGCAGTACGCACCCACTGGGCAGACGACAAAAAGATAATGCCCAAATGTGAGAATAAGGCAATTTCAAAATCATTATTGAAAACGGAATGAGCAAATTTTCATAGCAGATACACAACTTTCCTTGTTATGAATTTATGCTCAAGCATTAAATTTGATGAGTTATATTGATAAGCATGTCATGCTAAAAGAAATCACTTTCACTTGGTCAAGCTTTCGTGGAAGAAGTAAATTAAGTAGATCATGCCTCAAACACTACGAAACGTTTTCATGACCCAGATAATCTCAAGAGAGAGAAATGCAACCACAGCAGCTGGGGATGCTTCGTTCTTGATTACAATTGCCAACACTAGAAAACCGTTATAACTAATGTTTCGTGTGAGCACTTACGCCTCTTATCATAAGAATGCTTGGCATTCTCTAACTCCTTGCAAAGCCAACCGGTATTACAATCATCTTTTCAAAACAGATTCCCATTGCAATTATTAATACATATCCTACATATGAATAAATCAGGGCGATATCCAAATTTTTTTAAAAGGATGAAGTATTAAGAGAATAAATTTGTATCTAAGCGAAAAAGAAACTTCACCATTTCTTAAGTTATACAACATTTCCAGAAAATTACTCACATGTTATTTTGTCTACCGGGTGGGTGATAACTTTCATTCATCTATTCACAAGTGAGTTCAGCACCTCAGTAATGAATGGCTGTGAATTTGGAATGACAGAAAGTAACTTCGAAACAACTTTTCGTTTTTACTTCTTAATAATTCAATAAACTGTAAACCTGTTTGTGTGTGTGTGTGTTTGTGTGTGAGTAAGTATGTTTAAACTTACTGTAAATTTTCAGAGTAAAAACATTACTTTAAATTTAAAAGGCTTTTTTATTTGAGCATTCACACACAGAGTGTAACTGCTTCCTTTTTTTGTGCACAGTTACATCCAAGAGTTTTTTTTCTTGCTGGTAGATATAAGTGCAGTGGTGATTTTCAATGAGCAAACTTTTCTCAGCTTTTTGCAGCACATTTTTGTCATTTATGTTTTAATGCTTTGGAAAGTAATCAATTATAATTAACCAATATAGTGTTGTGTTACCATTTCGACATTATGTGTGCATTGAATAAATTTAATTATTGTTTGTTCTGTTTAAAGATCGGTTACTTCTCTGGTTTGCAGCTTATTTCAAAAGTATTGACACCGACACAAATGTTTCTGTTGTTCTATACTGCACCGAAATTCTAAACGGGTGTTTATTCAGCGCTTATCCAAATATTCTGTCTGTTTCCTTGCGATGCTCAATAACTCGAACTGATGTACACTTATATTAAGTGACTGCGTTCTATCTCCCGTGTGAAGTGGCATAATAAGGTGAGCAATATTGAGGGTAGGCGTCGAGTGCTAGGTAAGGGGGGATAATCAGTCGACGAGGCTGTGAAGTTACACCGATTGAGATGGTTAAGACATGTGTTACGTATGCCTAGTCATCGCCCTCCTCGACGGGTAATGTTAACTGATTTAAGGTCAGACTGAAAAAGAGCTAGAGGCGGTCAAACCAAAACATGGTACCAATAAAAGTAATCTACAACAATTAGTTTAAGCCACGTAGGAAGTTGTAGACTTCCTGGTTGGGGCCCTCGGGATGGTAAAAAAACAGTGGCTAGAAACAGTCGGTGATGTGGCTCAAAGTCGTTCTCGGTTACGCAGATGCATTTACTCCTTGTGACTTATAATATCCAATGAAACTATATCATTCTTCGTTATTACTATTCCTTTGCCTCACACCTCTGTTTACTGTCTCTAATATGCATTTCTTCTACTTTCTTCTCTTGCTTTGTGTGCTACATGAAGTGTGGCGATTTGAACTGCCGCGCATCGGTGCAACGTTCTTTGTCGAAACAGACAGACAGACATGTCTTTTAATCTCTTCCTTTATTAGACTTTCCCTTTGGAAGATTCAGTTTCTTATCGCGAGGTACTCATCCTCAAGGCCATCAAAGCATATGTGTGATATACATATATTTAAATTAAAAATTTGAAAGTAGATTTCTAGCTGACTTTCGAGTCAGCAGAAGAGTAATAATTGCTTGTAAATTAGTTGTGGTGCGTCGGTGGCATAGCGGTTAGGATGCTCGCCGACCATGCACATGGTCTGGGGTTCGATTTCCGGCCGACGCACTCCTTTACCTTGCTAAGCCAGAGATAATGCTGGTAAAGAGGAAAGGTTGGGCATGAGGCTAGCAACCCCATCCTGTAAAAATTAAACACTGCTACAGAAACTTCAAGCCATTAGCTTGAAGCCCTATGTTCCACTGGGAACGTGAAAGAAAAAAAAATTAGTTGTGAGGATACAAAATAACTCAAAAGCAAGTAAAAACTTTTTCTGAGTACTTAACTTCAGTAGAAAAATAAGCAGTTTTATAAAGATTCTGAAAACGAAAATTTCAACTGACGTAAACCGTATATTAAATTTCTGTGTCTCCAAGTAAGATATCGTTTATTACCACCTGTATTTGTACATGAATTACTCATCCTATATGCAATTCATTAGTGTATCCTAAACGCTTATTCAAAATTCCGCATTCTTTGTTACCCCTAATTTCTTTTGTATTTTGTTTTTTACATAACAATATATATTTTTAACCACATTCACTAGGGATATGCCATACTGACAGATTTTGGTCTGTGCAAACAGAATGTTGATAATCAGTCTACCACATTGACATTTTGTGGTACTCCTGAGGTAAGTGTTAGTTTGAGTAGTAAATTCATGCTTCTGTTCTTGTTTACTGAAAGTCTGCATCATTTAAATAACTTACATAGATATTTCTAATAACAAGATGAAGACTCATAGAGGTAAATATTAGAGTTACTACACAGATTTCTCCAAAATACTTACACTACAAAAAGGCATAAAAATTTGCGTCAAAGTAGCTTCCATCATGAGTGATAACCACTTCAAAAACTCATAGGAAACTGGGGGGAAGCACGAGACAGGTCTTTCTCCTAGTTTTCGGTTTTCCAGCACTTGGGGTATATGATTTCAATGGGTGTCAAATGTACTGCCATTGAGTTATCAGATGAGCTCTCTACCATTCTGTCACTGACTCATATGTTTCATGACTTTTAACTTCTTTCAGAACATTCTTTAGCCCCCTCACCATCCATTGTCATTTAGGAATCGCAAATTAGAGTAAAATAGGTATCTAGTTTTTTCTAGTTTGCAACTGAGAATTATCCCTGGTGGGGCTTACTTTCTCGCACTTAGTTCCTTGAAAATGGTTCTCTGGCTTATGCCGGTCACTGATTAAATCCCCTTTAAACCAATGAAATTCTCACAAATCCAAAATTTGGAAGATTTCATGGGTGGGATTATTTCGGTTCTTGTACATATTCTGTGGACAACTGAGTTTGCCTAGAAAAAACTTCAGCTCCCATGATTCATACACATGATTTTGTCTTTTGTCCTTCCTAGCACTCTTCTTCACTTCTTTGTCCAGTGCTGTGTAAGTCGAGCTCAGCGTCTCTTTCTCATGTCCATCTTTGCATTGAATCATTTTCTATTTCACCATTCTCCTTTCCTCTATTAGCTTCCAAGTGTCCATTGAGAGCCATTCCTTGTCTTGTCTCTTCTTTCTTCCTAAAACCGTTGAACACGTTTCGTTGAGAATCGCCTTCAGAGAGTTCCAATGTTCTTCCACGCATGATTCTTCAGTGATGTCACGCAGTGTTTCCTGCTTTGATCTGACAGTTGCAGTGAAGGTGTCTTTTGTGGTTGTGTCCTTCAGTAATTGAGTGTTGAACTTGCATTGTGGTCTATCCCCAGCTATCCTCGAGGCTTTTAGCTTCACCTTGAAAGTCACTTGTACTAGATGATGGTCTGAACCCACATCTTCTCCTCTCCTTGACCTTGTGTCCAGTAGGCTCCGTCTCCACTTCCTTGAGATAGAAATGAGGCCTATATGATTTTCGGTGTTTCCATCTGGTGAAATCCATGTCGCCTTGTGTATATCCTTATGTTTGAACACACTGCCACCAATCATCAAATCATTGAAGGCTCAGAAGTCTGGGAAGAGTTCACCATTGTCATTCATTTCACTAAGGGCCTCACGACCCATGGTGTGTTCTCTTCCTGTACTGTCTCCTCCCAGCTTTGATGTTGGTGACATCATGATGGCCGCTCCCTCGGTGTGCTCGTGATTGTTCTCTGGGTGACCGGAATAGATTAGTGTCTCCCCAGTTGTTAGTCGGCACCTTCCACACCCGTTCCATCTGATTTCGCAGATTTCCAACATTTCTATTCTACATCTTCTCATTTCAGTGGCTACCTGGGCAGCCTTTCCAGTTTCGTACATTGTACGAACATTCCACGTACCCATCCTTATTTTTGCTTTCATCGAAAGAAGGCACATCGGTTGACTGGCTTCCCGAAGGCTTTCACCAGCCTGCGTCATTTCACTTCCCCGATTCAAGCGAAAAATAAGGTTATTGTTTATATTTTTAGAATTTTTAATATATTTGTGCGTTGAATTTTCTGTAGCGATTTAGTTAAGTTTTGGGGGTGGAGTTGCTAGCACCACGCCCCGATCCTCCCTCATTATCCGGGCTTGGGACTAGCTAGAAAACTGGCGAGCTAGTAATCTAGGCGAAGTTTCATAGGAAATTAAAGACGTTTTATTTCATCAAATGTTATTTTTCCAGTAATGACTAACAGTGGAGTTGATGATAAGCTTTCCATACTGTATACAGTATACAATACTGTTTCACTTTGTGATACATCTAATAAACAAACTAACATGTTGAGTATCTTTGTACACTGAATTTTCATACCGTTCAAGCGTCCTTCACATCTATTTGTGGGCTCACATAATATTTTCAGCACAAAGGTTTCCTATTATAAAAACCAATAGTTGCATAAGCCGTAAAAATTGTCCTATTGTAATCCATTAATCAGATATTTGTCTACTTGTTCAACAGTAAAAACCATACTTTAAGAAAGAAATTTCTGTGCTTCTTACATGAATTCATCTATTCTCTATCCACCTCTATTCTTTATTTTTCTACTGGTAAGTCTGATCCTAAATATCCTAAGGTAATAATAAATAGCAATGTCCTTTCTTACACCAGTAATAATTATGGTGTTACGGATTAGTAATTTGGGTTGCCTTGACTTGCTTTTCATAAGTTCAGGCTGGTAAGTAATAATTACCACTTTGGTGCTGTTAACCTTAAAAGTAAGTCAACTAATTTACGGAAACTTGAAGTCTTTTACTAATCAAATAGTTACAATTTCTTTGAATATTGTATTATACTGAATGGAAATTGTGTGCGTTAAAATAGGGTGTTTCTGTTCTTGTTCTTCAGTATCTAGCTCCAGAGATTCTGCGCAAGCAACCGTACGATTTTGCTGTCGATTGGTGGTGTTTAGGTTGTGTCATTTATGAAATGTTACATGGTTTACCACCATTCTATTCTGAAAATCGCGTTCAAATGTATCGTTATATTTTGGAAAAATCGCTTAAAATACGCAATAGTGTTACCCCAGCTACTCAAGATATTTTAATTAGAGTAAGTCATTTAGTTTATACGGTGTTCTTTTGTCACCTATGGAATTCCACGTAAATATATAAAAGTCCATAACAGACATCTGAGAATTTTTTGTGAAAAGACAACATTTGAGGAATATTTCGCAACGTCAGATTTGAGGAATATTTAATAAATAATTTGCTTCTTGTAATCACATGCTGAGACAATGTAAAAAATTCCATTTGCGTTGGTGACTGAACAAGCTTCATGGTTGATGCTTTACCCGTTATGCTGATATCACGATATCCAGTAAGTTACCTGTAAGTTAATATACCAATGGCCTACTGGTTTTACAATGGTTGCTGATAGTATAAAACGAGAAATGTAGAGCTTTTGAGGTATGGGTCGCGTATGACAGAGTTATGAGCCTAGCATTCTTGACGTTAGTAAGGTAGCCTGCTTAAAACTTGGGCTACCGAAAATCTCTATCATTATATTTCATATAATTTATCTTGTTCAGTTTGTTTTAGTCTGTCAAAACACAACCTCCAGTGGTGATTTTGCTCCCGCAAGTATTTACAGTGTCTACAACTTGCTCATTCGCAAGCATCTACTAAACTTGAGAAGAAGGAAAATCGTGGGTGGCAACATTTCCTAAAACATGGGATTTTTATTACAGACTGCTACTGTCAGAGAAATAAAGCTAATCATCCGCAGTCTTTGGTTATCAGTTATGTACGTCTGCACTCTTTTAACTGACATTCAAACACATTTAAAACAAGCAATAAAGGTTAATAAAGTAGGATTTAATGAATTCACCAAATTTCGGTAGAACTCGTCAGCTGAATACTCTACATACACGGATATATATACTTTTGAAATTACATTGGGAGATATAAGACTCATGGATAATTTTGCCAAAATGGTTGAAAACAGCTGAGTGCAAAGTGCCAAAATCCTCAACAACAAAACATCTGGTGGATTACGGACATGATATCGACGCGGTCAAGTCATTCATCATTGTCAGCAAACAAAGAAACAAGAAGATGCTTGCAATTGTAGAGGCTTGTGCGATTCGAATTTACAAACCACCTCTCTGTTTACAAAAGGAGATGGTCTTCACTCTGAATCTACCATGGTAATACGTTTTACTTATTATTCTCTACTTGTTATTACTATTATTCTACCTCTTCTTCTTACTATTATTGTTATTATTATCATTATTATTATTCTTGATTCATTTAAAACTATGCTTTATCCGTAAGATTATCTTAACTCACTTCATCACTATTATTATTATTGTAACTATTACTATTGATATTAGTCTGTTTGCAATTCTCGTTATATTCCCTAATGACTAATTGTTTATCTAAGTGATGTAATTGAAGCGTAATGCAATTTATCTTAATTTTGATCTCTCATACTCTCTCTCGCCTTATCTATTTGAACATGACCTGTAAAACATTCGCACGTGTCTTTCTTCATGACTTATTCAATGTAGATTATTTACTTATCAGTCTTATATCTCCCAATGTAATTTCAAAAGTATATATATCCGTGTATGTAGAGTATTCAGCTGACGAGTTCTACCGAAATTTGATGAATTCATTAAATCCTGCTTTATTAACCTTTATTGCTTGTTTTAAATTCGTATCGGGAAATAAATGTTTTCAATTCAAACATATGTCGTGCATTTTTCGAAGGAGACAAATGAGAGATGTCATAAGGTAGTGGTTGAGCTTCAGGTCAGACAGCACTGTTTCAAGCTACCTACTTTCAAGTACCATTTTACTTGAAGATCTCGATAGGAGAGTGAATATTACGCAACATATACCTATAAAAATTTTGTGCACTATATAAACACCATCCAGAATAAAGCTATTGTTACTTTAAAATTAAATAAAAATTGTTAGAATCTGAAAGACGAAGAATGGAGAATGTATTTGCTTCATTGTAATAAATTTTCTTTTAAACCACAAACAGTTTCCAGCCGCTGGCTCTTAAAATCTCGATGCCGTTAGCTAGAGGGTCTACACATTCCTACATGGCTCACACCAAAAATGAATGACTTGATGCATATGTGGCATGCTTTAATTTGATCACTTCTACCTCTTTACAAACTAGGCCTATTTCAGTTAAAACTGCGTGTATAACAGATTTCCTAACTATATTAAATTATGTAGCTTCATAATCTGATCGCTCGGCTATCCACCTTCCTCTCTTCAACATTACATGTAACTCTATCATTGCTTACCCTGTGTGTCGGAGGCACAGTGGTTAGGACTCTTACCGACCATGCACATGGTCCGAGGTTCAATCCCGTGCCGACGCACACCTGATATTTATGGTCGGCCTGCAAAATATGGGCTACCAACGTCACATGCGGAAAATTCCATACTTGTATCAAAAATACAGTGTGGAATCAAGCTGTAATCAAAAATATAAAAAAATAGTTATTGTCTGATGTGTTAGGGTTTTTCTAAGCTCATGGGGGAGGGTTGCTCAAGTGTACATCGCTTCGAATGATTACGGGTCACACTCGTGAATGCATCAACTTAATTCCTATATTTACAGGAACAACAAACTTACTAAAGACTGTGAAAGAACTGTAACTACTAATGGTGTGTTCACTGAAAAAGATCAACTGATGCACGAATTTGTTATTATCAGTCCCTGTTCTGTAAATGAATGAATACCTATTAATGTTAACATCATTAAATCACTATATAATATATGTAAAAATGTGATTCAATACTTCCAAGATTTGGTAAAAAATTTAGTATCTGTTAAACTTAAGAAGATGCTCTTTAAGAGTGGGAAACAAAAGCCTTTGAGTAGTACAGTTACCTTAATATAGTTATGGACAATAAATCATGCTCAAAAGTCCATTTAGCAATTAATGTTGTTTGACTGTAAGTACGAATAAATGCACAAGCCAACATAAGTAGTTATATACATATTGCTAACGTATTAATGATGGGAGATTTGTATTTAACATGAGAACACTATTTAGTAATAGCTGTAGGATTATTTAATGTATTTAAACTTGGGATAATGAACTACAGAGATAGATGTCTATGTCTAGATTAACCAGAAAATTTTTTAAATAAACAAGACAAATATATATACTAAGGACTTTAACCAGTCAAAAGTGCTGATAAAGCCTATTTTTGAAGGCTTGTTTTCAGAATGAATACCTTAGGCGTTCAGTGTGAAAATTTTAGCATGAGAAAAATCTAGGCGAACAGCTTAGGTTTCATAAATGAATTACAGAATTAATTTCTGGGCTAATGTCTTCTAATGATAATCCCTAAATTTCCATTGAGCTAAACAACCTGGAGCTAATACGCTGTACCATGCTTGGCTAGATATGAGCACCATATATCACAGCCATCTGACTTTGTGCATGCTGGGAACTGATCAATAACTTGATATCCCTTACCTGAAGTTAACTCACTGACGTCAAGTATACTAGTCTCATAACTCTGTCATACGCGACCCATACCTCAAAAGCTCTACATTTCTCGTTTTATACTATCAGCAACCATTGTAAAACCAGTAGGCCATTGGTATATTAACTTACAGGTAACTTACTGGATATCGTGATATCAGCATAACGGGTAAAGCATCAACCATGAGGCTTATTCAGTCATCAACGAAACCTTTTTTATTTAAATTTCCTTTCTTCCGTAGCTTTTTTTCCTTTTTCCTATTTTTATGCGTACTTTACTGACTTGTGGGAGCTTAAAATAATCCATTTGGGACCAAAGTTGTTACTGTGTCAGTCAGTCGGGAAATCCTTTGTCTGTTGCATCTGAGAATACCCTCGACAGGGTTCGCCGGCGTGCACTTAGTTCCTTGAGCATCTAGTTTCAAGCTACAAATAATAAGTATGTATAATAGGATTTATTATACTGCGATTCCTATTAATTACTAAATAGTCTTGTCGTATGCCAGTTAATTTTTATACCTTTTCTGTCAGCCTATTAGAGGCAAATATTCCAGTTATTGTATTATAATAGTGAAAACAGTATCATAAAGATAAAATTGATTTCATTCATCCTCTTCTTCAATTCATCAGCTTGTTTTGTTCCCTTATTAAACACAGTTACTTCAAAAAGATAAAAACAACAGACTTGGGAGTAAAACTGATTTCGAAGAGATTAGCAGACATCGATTCTTCAAGGACATGGATTGGGTCAAACTTCTTGATCGTAAATTACCTGCTCCATTTTTGCCTTCTGTTACTTCATCAACTGACACTCGGCATATTTCGCCAGAATTCGTGAATTCACCTGTCCCAAGTAAGTGTACAGTGATTTAAAATTTTGTTTTGTGTTGCATCAACATACCTCAATGTCTTTATATTATCAAGGGCTGCAATCTTTTGTGAGTATCAAAAATGCTCAAAAGTGTATGTGAAAATAGGTAATTATCGGATTGTAACAATGAGGCTAGCCACTAGCATGCATATTTGAGTCATATACTTTTACATACATCTGTTATATGATGGACTGAAGCACTGACTAGTGATTCACCATTCCTAATTTTACTGTTACAATCTGTGACAGCCCCCTTTTGGTGACTGCCTAAAATTAATGTTCCACTTATTTCTATTCCTGCAAATAAGTGAATGGGCGAATATGGTCATTTAGAGGCGATTCAGTAGGTGTCACAAAACCGCAACACTTTGGACGACCTACAAGATGTGTGAGAATTTCTCTAGATACTCGATAAATTTGTAGTCCTGGTGATATTCTATGGCAATTACTACTGAAGATACAAAACGCGATAATTTGCACCGCAGAATGTTTGAGATGTAAATTTCAAAAAGTTATGCTTACTTAGGGAATACTTAATAAGAATTAACGAATCAACAACGATAGAGGTCTGATAGAGGTATAACACACGTTTGACAGATGTGAAAATAGAATCAGCAGTGGTGTACAAGAATGACAATGACCCATATTATCTATTGTTCTGACAGTACTACAACCTAGTTTCACAAAATTTCAGATTCCCTCATCTTCTCCGTCATGAAGGCGAAAAATTTACGTGGCTCGAGTTCACCGGACAAAACATTTTCTGGATTTTCTTATATTCCTACGAAAAATACTGATTGTTGACTGCAACTGTGTAACACATAAATAATAACTTTTGATGTTCTTTTCAAACTGACCCGGTAATTTTGTTACACACTTCAACCAAAAATGATTTTACTTCTAATATATAATGGTTAGATTTTGTCAATTTAATGATAGCTCTAGCTAGTTTTATTCATTTGCAGTGATTCCGCATGTTAAACTTTGATCTAGCAACAAATGCTTTGTACTTCAAATATATCTTTAAAGAAAACATTATCATTTAGATACAAACCCCCTACAGCGTGTTCTACAGTGTATATTCCACAAAAAGTACAAAAGAACAATATTAGGAAAAGATGAAATGTAGTTGGACAGCAATGCAGTGAAGTAGGTAAGCACATTCACCGAATACGATCTAAAATTCGTTTGTTACTTCGGACTATTTCTGAGTGCAGAACAGTTGAGAAACATGAAGTCAGTATATCTTCTATTAGTGATTCTTTACTAATAAAGAAAGCGTTAGAAGCCAGTAAATCACTTGACCTCTAGGTTGCTTCAATGAAAGTTATGGTTTACAGACGATACTAGCCCGTCAGAAATAGTCGCATAGTGGCATTTAATTTCGTAAAGTTATTAGCCTACAGTATTCATAACTCAACATTGGACGCTAACCTTCAATGTTTTTTAAGTCGGCTCGTCTAGATGAAGACTTGAGTTTAAGCATTTACACCATTTTTCACAACTTCGTGTTAAGTTTGTATGTTCGTGCATGATGCACAGCTATTTAAGCAGTCAGCATCGCTCATAACATCGATCCCGAAATATATTTTGGATGGTCAATTTAGTTTTTTGATTTGATTTATGTCTGCTCAGAGTAAACACTGTAAAAGATGAGGGTATAAGAACTTGAGTTAGTATACGTCTAACTTTTGATAAACGTCAAGATTTCATCTCCTAAACTTGTTACTCCCGGGTACTTCGGAATGGGCCTTTTAAGTCAGCATATTTTACTGTTAGTTTAAGGTAACAACAGAGGTCATGATAACTTTGGGGACCCACTAATTAAGACATTAAAATCGTCCAAAGACTACATGACTTACTGAAAGACAAATTTAGACTAACTCACATAATGTCCCCACCAGGTACAGAAAGGCAGCTACTCAACAAGCATAGTTGCTGCGCATCCTTATTTCAAACGATTTAAGTTCTACAAGTGTAGAAAAAGTGTTATGTTAGGAGACATTCAAAATTCAACTTTTGATGGCAAGACGAAAACAGCAACACTCTGGTGGTTAGCCAGAGGAATGAATGCCTGTGCGGTATTCAACGTACACCTGGAAGTTTTACTCACCACACTTTCCTGTGTATTGGTTTATTATTAGGTAAAAAATTGCGGTATTACTAGAGTCATATTTGCCAATACAAAGGACGTATAATATACATGTCCTAGTCACCAAACCAACTTATCACGCATTCGGTACTTAATACAGCATATAGTAGTGCTGTAACAGCCGAAGGCAGGAGACAGGAGCCACGGTATATTTTCAGGTGGTCAAATAGCTGTTCATATCTATACAGTATATATTCTTAAACCAATCATTGAGCGTGTGATTTTGGTTTGCATTAAACGACATGAAATAGAATGTTCAAATACATAAATGGTATTCTGTTGCTAATGCAGGTGTGAACTGTTGGAATATGTGAGAATAACATTCCGATGAAACGCGCTATCTGTATCCCACCACCACAGAGTTACTTTAGATTTTCTAATTTTCAGGTAGACTGGTAGAAAACATCAAACACACTAAACCCCAACCAGAATGATGGAAGTTAGCTCAAATGTAAAGGAAAGAAATTTGACGGAATCCAGTGACTTAAACATGGTGCTGGGAAGTGCTGAAATCATTAAGATGCCAGTCTCAGAAATTAATAACAAGCATACTAGGTGTACCCAACTATTTTTCCATGACACAAATTTTCAAGCATCCTGCTACACAAACAATGCACTTATACTGACGGGCAAAGTTGAATGACTATTCTTAACGAAATCAACCCGTTTCAAACCAAATAAACACCAAAATCACATCAAATACGACTACCTAAATCAAACGAAGCAAACTAGCCGGATTTGAATCAACTAGACGGCCTCAATGTCCGCAAGATAAAGCAGGTGACTCCACTTGAAAAAGGGGATATGCTGTTTATTCTCCCATGCTGATGAGTTATTGTCCTTATTAGGTTTATTTCTAAAGTCTCATCAAAATGTTCTAAATCACTTATGGTCAAGAAGGATGATAATAGTTGTTATATACTGGGTTTGGTGCCTTTAACTACTCACTCCTTTTTGTTATGAGGCTGAGGAGAAACCAGATGCGGTATTATTCATTTTGACAACTGAATGAATTGCCATTAGTACTCCTAGCTGACAAACGATATTTGCATGTACCAACGGGGTTACGCAGCATTTATGACTATCAGGCCTTGATAACATATGTAAATAATATAAATAACCTGCACAATGACAGTAAACTATAATCTTCTTAACCAAGTCTTATGATATTAAACGGGATATGTGCTAAGTTCAAGGTTAGATTTTAGAAGATTAAGGATAAGTTTGAGCCAGGTAAGGGTTAGAACAACCTAATTAAGCAGATATTATGATTGGTTCGAGTTAGATTAGGATTAGAATAGGGATAGATTTGGGTTAGGGTTACGTTAAGGAAACATCAAGCTAAGGGTTAGGGTTTGGAAACCCATGGTCGTTTGTTCGGTGCCCTCTAGTGTTTTTTTACGTCAAACTTATCACTGAAATTCACGTGGCTACCAGACGTAAATTTGAGGATCTGCTTTCAGAGTGTATTGGTAGGCTTGTCTTCATAACACTTCGTATTCATAAAAGACTAATATTTTTCTCATACGGAAATATTTATTCACATCAATCTCAGTAATTTCAGATGACACCATTTTACTGCTGTATAAAATGCGAAAGTGTGGTGATTGACAATTTCTATCTCTGTATTGTTTAAATACTTACTGTTCATTGTTAATATGTTTCTTATATAAATTGCATAATAATTCCGCTAAATACAAATTCCTGAGTTCTGCCCTCTCTGTGTTTTGGTTGGATTCTTGCAATTCGGTCATCTTGAAATACTAATACTACGACTACAATAAATTACTACAAATTGGCGTCGCGATGGAACTAAATAACCTGGGAAATTATCCTATAAATGCTACTCCGCGGGAGATTGCTGATTATTTGGAATGCTTTGATGCGTGGTGCATTTCAAAGAATGTTCGGGATGACAAAATACCAGCACATTTCATCACTGCTATTGGGCTAGATGCGTATAGTCTAGTAAAGACTCTGTCATTTCCAGAAAAACCAATTTCTCTGCCATAATATAAACTACGTGAACTTCTGATAAATCACTTTCATGTAACTACATTTGAGACCAGAGAGAGGGCTCACTTCAACAAACTGGTTCGTGCTCCCAACCAGAAGATCCGAGAGTTCATTCTTCAACTTCAAATTCAAGCTTCAAAGTGTAACTTTGGAGATCAGCTGCACACTCAACTACGTGATCGTCTAATTGCTGGAATCAATATTCCTAAGTTAGAAAAAGAGTTAATTCAGATTCCTTCTTGTACTTTTCAAACTGCTAAAGATTTATGTATTACATATGAAGATGTCAATAATGAATACTCTGCTCCCACTACGTCAGTGTCTGATGTTATGCTTTCTAAAGTCGAAAATACAAGTGGTAATGGAAAGCAATCCAAACTGTCGTCCACAGGTAACAGAATGCAGCGACAGATCAAAAACATTAAACCGTGTTTTTCCTGTGGGAAGTTACATCTACGAAGCACTTGCCGTTTTCGGGGTGCTAAGTGTCAAAAATGTGGTAAAGTTGGACACATCAAGACGGTTTGCAGAAGTTCGAGTACTTATGTTGCTCAACATTCTTATAATTCTCCCAGTCTGTCTAGCAAAATGGAGTCAATGTGTCTTTCAACCTTCCAAAATACTCAAGCTAATCCAATGAAAACCTCCACTACAAGTTCAGCAACTCAAGTGTCAACTGTTTTCAATGATGAGGTAGCCGCGTTGCAATGAGAACTGTCGAAAACACGAAAAAAACTGAATGAGATGAGAGAGCAACTGATTAAAATGGAGGAATTGCTGCATATGCATAGACTGCGTCTGTTGAATGCAAAGCATACAAGTACCCGTGAAAGTCCTGCAAAACTTTTCAAATCTCGAATTCTCAAAAAGCATCTGATGTCCACGACTTCTAATGTACATTATTACAAAGGTAATAACTATAGACCTTCTGTTGGAATTATACTACGAAAAATGGGAAATCGAGTGGTGAAGATATTAGACATCAAAGATCACTCAGTTCATAACGGACACCTGGACAAAGTGACAATAAATGAAGTAGGTCGTTCCAATTATAATATTATTGATTCCGCTAATAATCCTGATTTTTTAGATAATTCAGAAATAAGTCCAGATAATACTGATGAAAATAATATCACAGAATCAGTTAGGTCGCAGCTACTTTCAAGCAAACCGAGACATCGTTATAAATACGCAAGGAGACGTTGGACGTGTGGCGGATGTGGTGATTGACAATTTCTATCTCTGTATTGTTTAAATACTTACTGTTGACTGTTGATATGTTTCTTATATGAATTGCATAATAATTCCGCTAAATACAAATTCCTGAGTTCTGCCCTCTCTGTGTTTTGTTTGGATTCGTGTTATTCGGTCATCTCGAAATACTTATATTCCAAGTACAATAAATTACTACAGGTATTGCACTGGAGATGCTGCAACAACTGCACAGTGTTTTAAGTTTTTGAAGCCAAAACAGGGCTACTACGAGGCTATGAGCATACTAAGTCAAAGGTTTGGAAGACCTCCGATGATTGTAGGGAAATTATTCGAAGCTCTTAAGGGTAATGGTGGTCAATTACAGGATGACTCCCAGGCACTCACTGAGTTTTTAGATAATTTGCTAATTTACAAGAATGGA